CCTATTTGGAGTCATCACATGGTTTTCTATCCTTGAGGAAAGAATCCGCTTTGAATACCGCCCTCGCATTACCTTTTCCTTCAAACAACATAATTACCGTGATACTCTTGGTATACCGTGACTTGCAATAGTGTCCCATTCTGTGTGGCGGTCCGTGCAACACCTTCGGAAATTGTCGTCCCGGCCAATGTTGTCCTTAGGTCTGTGTGAAACAATGCACTGGTTTGTGTTGCGAGCTAATCTAGCCCATAAGTAGGCTACGTTGAATCTGGAAATGGCAATCTTGCCATATAGCCACACGATAAGTATCTCAGGTCTACAACAAGCTAACATGTATTTTAGCTTAGCAATCAGCACTCACCGATGGTTTTAACCGATATACTACACCAAGACGATCTGGGACACACGGCACGTTCTTGATCATTAATGGACGGGGATGAAACTACGAAACAGGCACAACATACTCTGTTCCTGGATCGCCTAGTCACTGCCTGATCAGCGCTTTGACGAGCTACTAGTACATCACTCGTTTTTCTTCTCACAGTGACAGTATGGGTTAGAAGCTAGCATAATATCCCCGCTATGTCACCCGTTCTGTCAAGGTGATCATTACAATTATACACGTTGCCTAACACAGATAACATCAATGGGGCCCATATACACTTTTGATCGGTTTTAAGACACTTGGACAGGTCAGCGCCTACAGCGTATGGCCGCCTGACTAGGGGTCACTAGCCATCGGCATTCCTATACTTGACGAGTTGTCTTGGTTGTAGCAACCTAGCACTCGCACTGCTATGGGATATCTGAGGTCAGTTGGCTGTTCTAACTGAGTTAGTTTATGTTGTGCCATCCGAGTCATGACTTCAGGGTACGCCACCATTCTTCAAGGCGTCGGCAGACAGTTTCTAACCCCACGGGCAGTACACTGTCGGTATTCAGATGTCCAAGGCGCTGAAGATCGCTGAGCAACCATTTCCGGGCATGGAGAATCGATCGAGGCAACAACAGCCTTGAATCGGGAAACACTCAAGTCTATCTACCTCCCTGCGAGATAAAAGCTGCGAGAAGTATGCATCACAATCTTATCCTGCATCCCACTACTCTCCCGGGTGAAGAGAGTGCCACTTATTGTAAATATTCACAATGCTTATTCTTATTTTACTCGTTTCTCTCATTTCATCAATCAACGCTGCATCGATAGTATCTCGTTCGCAGTCCTTCCCATTATCTCAGTCAGCGGTGCTTGGCCCCAAAACTAGAATAACCATAGGTAATAAGGTCATCGCTCCTGATGGCTTCGCACGCTCGTGAGTCTATTGCAATCGCACTCGAAGCTCACTGCTGATCTTAGATAGAGCAACTCTAGTTGACGGTATATTCCCTGGACCCTTGATTACGGCCCAGAAGGTGAACATCCATTGATCTCCTTTCGTGCACCAGTGCTGACCTCACATCAGGGAGATGACTTCGCCATCGAGGTGGTCAACGAGCTCAAAGACGAAACGATGTTCAAGAGTACCAGTGTCGTAAGTATCATTAAATCATCCGCATCGTCGATCGATTAACCTTGTTTACTGCAGCACTGGCACGGTATCTTCCAGAATGGGACGAATTATGCCGATGGGACATCCTTCGTCACACAATGCCCCATTGCGCAAAATCACTCTTTTTTACACTCTTTCTCCGCTCCGAATCAGGCAGGCACCTACTGGTATCATAGTCATTATTCTGTCCAATATGAAAGTATCACTCGAACTTTGCGCATGCAATAGAGGACTGACCTCTTTAACAGTGTGATGGTCTGAGGGGACCCCTGGTAATCTATGATCCTGATGACCCTTTGGCATATATGTACGATGTCGACGATGGTGAGCGAATAACTGTCTCATATCTACCCTCAGCTGACCATCTGTTGTTGCCAGCGAGTACTGTAATCACACTTTCTGACTGGTGAGTGTTATGCATATCGGTGATCTTCCTGCTCAGTATCGTGTCACTAGGTATCACGTTGTGGCTCCCGTCTTGCGCCACATCATAGGCACGACCGCCAACTCCTCGCTCATCAACGGACTCGGTCGATATGCTGGCGGACCCATGTCTGATCTCGCTGTGATCGATGTCGTGCCAGGAAAGCGATATCGCATGCGCCTGGTTTCAATGTCATGCGACCCCAGCTTTCATTTTTCCATCGATGGCCACAACTTGACCGTCATTGAAGCGGATGGACAGCTGACCGAACCCCTGGTAGTAGATGAGCTCCGAATTTTTGCGGGTCAGCGCTACTCTGTGGTTCTGGTAGCTGATAAGCCGGTGGACAACTACTGGATGCGCAGTCTTCCTAATTTGACAAAAGCCTCCTACGAGGGAGGAATGAATTCTGCAATCCTGCGCTATCAAGGCGCCCCAATTGCCGACCCGACCACGGTCTATACGGCATCCAAGAACCAATTGAATGAGACCGATTTGCATGCTCTGATCAATCCCGGCGCCCCGGGCATTCCAGGGTATGGGAAGGCAGACATCAACCTCAACCTCTCGGTCAAGAACTCCAACGGCTCATTCTATGTCAATAATGTCACTTTCCAATCCCCCACCATTCCTGTTCTACTCCAAATTCTCAGTGGAGCTCGAGAACCGTCTGAGCTGCTTCCAGAGGGAAATGTCATCGTTCTAGGGGCTAACAAAGTGGTAGAGTTGACATTGACAACAAGCGGTCCAGGTGGACCTGTACGTGGTTCTTCTTCCTTCAACTCTTATGTGCCTGACATACCTTGTACCAGCATCCCATACACCTTCATGGGGTAAGTTAGCTGTAACTTCGACGGCATGATTTCAGGCTGACTGATGATCATTAGCATTCCTTCGATGTCGTACAGAGCGCAGGGAGCAAAACCTTCAATTATGTGAACCCCGTTCGTCGCGATGTAGTCAGTGCTGGCAGCACCCCTGACCAACAAATGGTGATCCGATGGACGACGGACAATTCCGGCCCCTGGTTCTTGCATTGGTATGCCATCATTTTATCTAGTTGTCAAGAAGGATACTAACCCCGAACCAACAGTCACATTGACTGGCATCTCGATGCGTATGTTTGTCCACGCCCTCGTGAAAGAAAATAGCTAATCCTTAAACCCAGCGGTTTCGCGGTGGTAATGGCCGAAAGTCCCTCCGACACCCGCGCACATTTGAACCTCGTGCCAGGTACGAAATATGCGAGTAAAATGTACTTCCATGGCTGAACTGTTTCACAGATGATTGGCATCAGTTATGTCCGACCTTTGACTCTTTATCACCCTCACAGTTAGGGGGTGGAGGTCGGGAGTCCTATGAAGAAGCATCCAAAATCAGCCCACTTCTCTTCCCGCCATCACCCCTCCCTTAGATACAGTAGTAAACGTCCTAATCATTTTCATCTCTTAGGGGCTTAGGCCCTGGGCATACTGGGGATACCGATCGGACCACAATCTCTACTTAGCAAATTTTTCTCTATTATAGGAGTCACTATAATTACTTTCCGCGGTAATATCCGGTAATATTACTATACCAGGCCGAATTCATACTTAATTGACCTTACTTTGTCATGACAACGGTCAATACACTGCTCAGCGCTCATTTCGTGAAGTAGAAATTCGTATCATTTCTCTCTTGAACAATATCTAAGGACAGGAAAATGGACACCGAGTTGAACCTTACCACATTACTCCAGTGTGCTCTCGATGTTGGAGCATGTCAGGACCCAATTCGCCGACCTAACGCTTTATGAGACACTTTTTCGATCTGGCGGCAGAGGAACGCCAGTGCCACCGCATTGCGACGGTTCATTCCTCTAGGTCAGTTTTCACCTGATATAGTAAAAATAAAGCATATGGCATGGAGAACATAGAAAGGGCTACTGGGACCGGTCACCGCGCTGGTTAGTCGGCATCACATATCCACAAGGATCTAACCACTCTAGGGTTACTCCACGTAGACTCTGGGGCCAAAGTCCACCGTGAGTGCGGCGGTCCTGACTTCCATACTGTCGTGCACAGGTACAGACCTCAACCTTAAACCTATACGCTCCTATACATCCAGAATGCAATACCCAACCAAACCAACCAAAGTCGCCTTGACAAGCCTTCACTGCCAACAGGCCGGTACAGCCCCATCCATTACATCGCAGTTCCTGGTGTCTGATAGTTGTTACTCACAGGAGCTCGCTAGTAGTAGGTGACTACTACATATCGATGATGCGGCCCGCGTTGACTCAGTAAGAGACCAGTTCGAGAAACATGTTGAATAATTTGATCCTCATGCATTGGCGGAGATCAGCTATCCATGATAACAACAAAAAACGCTCTCCGGATTGCTCGCATCCTGGAATCGGATAGAACCCACTCAACGCATTGTGTTTGCCCACTCTGGACCCCCGCTGTGACGGGTTGATCAAACGAGCAAGATCAGTCAAATCACGCCCAAACGAGATGGATTGAAATTCCGCTGCATTTCATGCTGGCGTAAGGTCAGGCACGGAGCCGAGGACACTTGTCAGGGGGATGCTTTTCGGGATTCGTCGGACACGTGGTGCGCACGGTTAGCCTCGAGCGGCCAGGTAGAACAATTGAACTTCGTTTACAGTTTTCTACCGCTGATTTGAATTGATGCATATGAATCCCTACAGGCACCAGAACTGGCTAATCTAAGTCATCATTCAATCTGCCGAATGACGACCATAGATAAATTACGTGCTTCCAAGCCAGACCTTTCCAGCTGAAAGTGGACTCGGCGCCACTTGGCTGATCTTTCCGAACTTCCGTCTCGGCTATCATTACTCCCATATGAGTGCTATGGTCAAACTTGGCATGGCGGGCTATGGGCATGTGCGCCAGAATGCTATCAGTAACTAGTCGGGGCTTGGCATTTCACGACTGTGACCTTTTTACGGTGAAATTTGTCACTCACAGCCGAAGTTGGGATGAAGGCTTCTATAAGAGCAAACCACATTGAGGTGAGTTCTTATGATCGAGTGCTTTCCATCCCTTTGTACTCAATACAATGCTCTTCCTTAATGTCATTTTCATGCTATGGTTTCATCTAGTATCTGCTGCATCCACCGTCTCACGATCCAATCCCTATTCACTCAACTCTCGTTCATATACACTAGGCCCTAAGACCGACTTGGTAATTTCTAATAAAGTCATATCTCCAGACGGGTTCGCGCGCTCGTGAGTTTGTCTTTTGCTGTGTTCCTTGCATCTTAATCATTGATATAGTGCAACGCTCGCCGGAGGAACGTTTCCGGGTCCAATCATCACAGCCAGAAAGGTTTTTTTTTATGCCAATTCGATCGAGCCCTCAGACACTGACTACAGTTGAAGGGAGAACACTTCGATATAAATGTCGTGAACAGACTCACTGACAATGAAATGCTCTTGAGCACCAGTGTGGTGAGTAAACATATGTTTGGTACTCATGCATCAGGCTCATCCGACTCTGTTTAGCATTGGCACGGAATCAGGCAGAATGGGACTAACTATGCGGATGGAGTCTCGTTCGTTACTCAATGCCCTATTGCACAAAATGACTCCTTCCTGCACTCCTTCGAGGCTCGGAATCAGGCTGGCACCTTCTGGTATCATAGCCATTACTCGATCCAACAGTGGTGTGTTGATATGAAATGTTTAACTCCGCGATCAATGATCCGAACCCTTCTAGCGATGGACTCCGTGGAGGTTTTATTATCTATGATCCTGAAGATCCGTTATCCTATTTATACGACGTTGACGACGGTACAGTGACTACTATCTTAGTCATGAATTCGCCCACTTAGAACATTCACAGAGACCACCGTCATCACTCTTGCTGACTGGTACATCTCAGAACTATTCATGACTTGCATTGCGCTCACCAATTGATCATAGGTACCATACAGTTGCCCCTGTTTTAGGCCATATAATTGGCACTAATGCATTTTCCATACTCATTAACGGTCTCGGTAGATATCCAGGGGGACCCCTGAGTGACCTTGCAGTGGTCAGTATCGAGTACGGGAAAAGATATCGCCTACGCCTTATAGCAATGTCTTGCGATCCCACCTTTACGTTCTCCATTGACAACCATAACTTGACGGTAATCGAAGCGGACGGTGAACTGACGCAGCCCCTCCTCGTGGACTCGCTTCCGATACTTGCTGGACAGCGATACTCTGTTGTACTCGTCGCGAACCAACCGGTCGACAACTATTGGATACGGGCGCTCCCAAACACTCCGGGCTTGAACAACTTCAACAACAACCAGAACTCTGCTATCCTGCGATATAACGGTGCACCCGTCGCGGAGCCTACTACAAACCAGACCACCAGTACCAACCCGCTCTCCGAGAGCAACTTGCACGCATTCATCAATCCTGGTGCACCTGGGATTCCAGAGTACGGAAAGGCAGACATCAACTTGCAGTTAGTGGTCGGCCTCAATACCGGGGTATATTCGGTCAACGGCACCCCATACATCCCTCCCACAGTGCCCGTACTGCTTCAGATCCTCAGCGGCGCACGGCATGCAACCGATCTTCTTCCGGCAGGAAGTGTATATGTTCTAGGGGCTAACAAGGTCGTCGAATTGACGATGCCAGCTGTTAGTGCTGCTGGTCCTGTAAGTTTCTCGCACGTTCGCTACGTTACACACATCTCATAGCATCTCCCTAGCATCCGATTCACCTTCACGGTGTAAGTATTTCTGGTTACCAGTTGGCATTTGATTGCTCACTGTAGTAATAGCATAGCTTTGATGTCGTGCAGAGCGCCGGAAGCAGTTCTTTTAACTACGTTAATCCCGTACGCAGGGATGTAGTATCCAACGGGGTCCCAGGCGAACAGATGGTGATTAGATGGGTCACGGATAACTCCGGCCCGTGGTTCCTGCACTGGTAAGCGCACTGCGACATTGATGTATCTCGCACTAGCACTGATCTCATCATTTACCTAGTCACATTGATTGGCATCTTGACGCGTACGTGTCTCGAGCACTGACATTATTGACAGCTGTAATCTGACGTGTTGCCAGTGGTTTCGCTGTCGTCATGGCCGAAAGTCCTTGGGACACTCAGCGGCATCTAGGCCATATACCCCGTAACTATTCGATTGTCCATCTTATGCTCCGCTTTAACTGATAGTGTACACAGATGCATGGGATGAACTTTGCCCGAGATATGACTCGTTAACCCCAGCTCAAATTGGAGCGCAGAATTCGTATCAGGAAGCACAGAATATGAGCACAAGGCTATTTCCCCCTGTCATATAGTGTTCATTGTCGTAGAGTTCTCAGGAATAGCGCCATCGGGACTCTCATAATTGAGATATACACAGTGGCACTATCAATACAATTTATCGTGAGCCATCACATACACATGCTCTCTGCACTTGATGCGGGCTGCTTAGACTACGTTCTAATGAGCAAGCCACTGACATGAATCTATGCCGAATGGATGTTGGTGCCTACCCACTAACCGCAAACACTACTGGAAGCGTGTTAGGCTTCCCTAGGCAGACGTCCAAATATAGTTGTTGCTTTCTTGCCATGTGCTGTATGTCGACTGCTGGCAGAAGGTCGCCCGTACGGAATCTACGCGATTCCGATAACGACTGATATATGATAGGAGGAACCAGTGTGTCAGGCGGTGAGCCGTGTCACGGAGGACATGTAGGAAATGGCTAGTCTGTGCGAAGTCTGCACAGACTGCGTGCCAAAGTCTGGGGACATGTCTGCGTAACTTGGTCAAGACTGTCGCTTAATTATTACACCAAAACGTCTGTGTTTCAGTATAGCGGATAGTATTTATGTAGATGATGGAAACTGCAGTAAGCCAGTGCGCTTACAGTCTGCGGTCGGAAAGATCCGGGCGGTCAAAGGTGTCTGCATGATCGCAACCACCCTGCCGTCTACGTAGCCATCATCACGTATCCCGCCAGCTATGTCAACCGTCATGCTAATCTCGTTATCCTTGTCAGCTTGCTGTCACGGTTCTAGTCATCTTAAGGGAGGACATGGTAGCTACAGACTGAGAGCTGCAGACAACGGCGTGGTGTTGGCAGGCACACAGGAAATAGGCAAACGCAGTAGTAGACAGGACAGGGAAGCGTGAGAGACTCGCAGGGACAAGAAGAGATGACGGTAAAGATCCTGATGGCAGGCAGGCGGGATGATAGTGACGTCGTACGGCAGCCTTGACAGACTTCCCAGCACTTTCTGAATCCGTGCAATTCGCTGACAGCACACGAATATCCACTTTGCACGCAGACCGGCCAAATCCTGCACTCTCTGGTGTCGCGGGTGGACCACTACAGTGGACCAATTAGATCAAAAAAAGTGATGAGAATACGAGGGTCGTTAGGCTGAGTAATCATCTGCATCAAGAGTAACTTTGTTCACATTCTAAAACTGATGCCGCGCGGGGCCGCAACCTGCAGCTGGCATGATGATACGGCGGATCATGATTTGAGTCTAACACCTGACTTCTACTCCCGCCAAGGGACAGACCAATCCGAGTTGAGCCCAGTATTTCCCCGTAGTGAGTGGCTTTAAGATCGGCCAAGAGTAAGTGTGGGACTAGCCTGGGATGGCTTGGTGTGAAGTCGGTGCTCGATTATGGGATTTTGGGAGTCTGCCTAGGAAACAAGGGGGACGGTGGTGCGGCCTGGGAGAAGAATGCAGAACCACGGTCTCCGGGAATCGCATACTTGTTGATCCCGAAGTGAATGTACTTCCAAAACTTGAATGTCGTATGCTGGTTGTATCGAACGTTTTTCCAAGGATTATGCCCTAATTTAGTAAGTATGCACTGGACTGAGTATATGATGTGATATTAGTCACGTGACAAAATGATTTAGTAATGGGTGATATCGGACGAGGGAGAGGCTTATAATCAATCTCAAACTCGTTTCACTACTGCATCGGTAGCTTATAAGGTACCGTTTCGCTCCCATTTTAAAGGCTGTTCTGACGCTCTTTCCACCTTGTTCCGGATCTACCATTATCGCACTCTCTCATCGATCCATCATGGGTGTCCTCGATATCGTTCCCGTTAGTACAGTCAATCATCAGGCAAACTGATCCACTGACGCTCTCGTAGGCTGGTGTCCTAACTGGAGATAATGTTCGCAAGTTGTTCGACTACGCAAAGGAGAACAAGGTACGTCGCTCTCGACTAATTGTATCCTATTATCTTAGTGAGGCGCCTTGCGATTCAACTTCAATAGTTTGCCATTCCTGTGAGTGCCTTCCCTATCGGAGGTAAAGATCCTGCTGAAACGATGATATCTTCACCAGGCTATAGTGAGTGACGAAATCAATCAGAGTCTCCTGGCTTAACTCCGTCAAGAACGTCACTTCCTCATCCACCGCTAACGCGGTCTTGGAAGCCGCAAGGTCAGCAAAAGAGTCTTGGTCATTCACGAAATGCTCATATCCAGCTCCGCAGAGACATCAAGGCTCCAATCATCCTCCAGGTTTCTCAGGGTGGAAGTGCCTACTTCGCCGGGAAAGGTCTTTCAAATGACAACCAACAAGCTTCCATTCTGGGAGCTATCGCTGCTGCTCACCACATTCGCACAGTTGCGAAGGCCTACGGCGTGTGAGTCTTACCTTTGCCTGGGATTTATGTTATTTTGATCCATGATGGATATCAGGCCTGTCGTTCTTCACAGCGACCACTGTGCTCACAAGCTCCTTCAATGGTTTGATGGCATGCTCGCTGCCGATGAGGCTTATTTCAAGGAGCACCAAGAGCCCCTTTTCTCTTCACACATGCTTGACCTATCCGAGGAGCCAAAAGAAGAGAACATCGCAACTTGCGTCAAGTACTTCAAGCGCATGGCACCTATTGGTATTTGGCTAGAGATGGAAATCGGTATCACCGGAGGTGAAGAGGACGGCGTTGATAACACTGGTGTCGACAACGCATCCCTCTACACGCAACCCGAGGACATCTACGATGTCCACGCTGCTTTGAGTGCGATTAGCCCCAACTTCAGCATTGCTGCTGCGTTCGGTAACGTGCACGGCGTCTACAAGCCTGGAAACGTCAAGCTCCAGCCTGAGTTGCTGGGCAAGCACCAAGCTTATAGTAGCCAAAAACTCGGTGGCAAGTTCGAGAAGCCTCTCTACCTTGTGTTCCACGGTGGTTCTGGGTCAACCAAGGAGGAGATCAGGACTGCAGTTGACCATGGTGTCGTCAAAATGAACGTTGATACTGGTGAGTCTGTCAGCCTAGCAATGAATTCAGTCGTTGACGCGGAAACTGTCACTCAGATACCCAGTTTGCTTATCTCGCTGGTATCAGGGTACGATTGTCCATCAGTCCTGGAGATCGCGCGATAGCTGACCGTTATCTCTCAGGACTTTGTTTTCAAGAAAAAAGATTACCTGCTCACTCAAGTTGGTAATCCCGAGGGCGCAGACAAACCTAACAAGAAGGTTCGTTACTAGCTTATCTTTTCTGATATTTCTGTCATTCATGTTTGATTGCAGTTCTATGACCCCCGTGTCTGGGTTCGTGAGGGAGAGAAAACGCTCTCGGCGCGGGTCAAGGAGGCTTGCAGTGACCTCGGCAACGTTAGTGAGTGTCAAATCGAGCTTGATCGTCGATCGGTCATTGACGTGAACATCGCCCGTAGACCGCTTGTAAAGAAAGTGCCTGTGAATGCATGTATAACTTAGAAAAAGAATTTCAAGAGCTGTACTTCTGTAAATGCTCGGATAATCATGATGCCCGAAAGCAGCCTTGTTGCTATTAATTTAAATCGACATAAACATGTTCGAGATGTTCTGCAGAACTGAAAAGAGACCGTCGTGACTCGTGAACGTATGAAGAGCTCCAGGTACTATCTTGGACCTTGGTTGATGGAAGCGTCGGAATTTGACAACTGTGGGTGGCTTCCAATTGGCCGAACTTCTGTTGATTTTTGACAAATTCTTGAACTACTGTTGTAATCCACGAAGTGTACATCACAACTGCACCACTAACATCCATCCCAATCCTGAGGCCTAAGGCATCTTGCCTTGTCTATAGTCTGTAATTCAAAAGTTCCTGCTCGACCGGATCCAGTATTTGTTATTGTAACAACATGACTTCCGCTCTGAACGATTTTGGTACGTGATTGTTAATCTTTACTCCGCTCGACTGCGACTCACACTTACCACGCACAGTCTATGCTTCTTTCCTCCTTCCGATATTCTTCACCATCGAATGCACCAGATGCATTCTCTACGTCTCCGACAGAACGCCTGGCAGCGGTCCATTGCGCTTGGTCGTCTTACTACTCAACATCCTCGCGGTTGGCCCACTCCAAGTGATTTTTGGATGGGTGCTAATGGTCGTATGGTTCCCTGTGCGAGCTCTTCTGTGGTTCATGGGTATAGGAAGGGGTGCGCCGAAGAAGGGTACGTGTGTTTGGTCTCCTTTGCTCGCTGTGCCAGATGGCTGACGATCGATTCATGCGTCGTGTATGTAGGCTCGGCGGCTGCAACAGCACGATTTTATGAACTCAAGAAGAGACGAGCGCAGAACAGGCGAGGAGAAAGTTGATCAGGAGGACTTGAGGTATTATCATATGATTTTCTTGTACCTCTAGAAGTGTATTGTTTCTTGCACTAGTACTGTTGTTTTTTATGATTGCTGTCGTCGGTTTATTATATATTTATGCTCTCCTTCGAAGTGCAGCTCCCATTGCCAATGGTGTAACGCCCTCGCCAAGCTAAACTCCAGATTCAACACTTCACCGCACCAGTACAATCACGTGACCGCGTATTATGCCTCCAAGAAAATTTGAAGAAAATTCAAGAAATGCTTGAAGGAATCGTACGTATGATAGCGAAGAAGTTGGACTGACGCGAAATGCGCCGAACGGGCGGAATAATTCAATTGCACCATGATAATTATACTAACGGTGCACACTGCAAGCACCAGTTCCCGACTCCGATATTCAGCAAATCCCTTTTCGATTCGTTTGACTGACAATTCAATATTGATTTCGTTCATGTCTTGATACTCCCCACTTCCGCACAAGCACTCCCCTGTGACTCCAGGACTCTAACACAACATGCAAGCACCATCATAATTAGACTAACAGTTGTTGACTAAGCTCTCCAGCATGTTCCTCGCTGTATTCCTCAACTTCTTCACCGCAATGGTGACCGCCCCTTCTTCCTCTAGATCTTGCATATTCAGTTCCATCTCCGGCTCCATATTGTCGAGAACATCATCCACTTTTCCGATGAGATTCTGGAGATCAGATATCGAAGCGATCTGCATATACTTCTTTGTGCGTTCCACAAAGACAAGGAGCTCTAGATCGTGTGTCTGCGAATGGTATAGGGAAGATAATACCACGCGCATCTCATCACGTCCCACCACTGCTGCTCTGTGACAGAATCGAGCGATGTATCCGATGACTGTTCAGGTGCAATTTGGAGGAGAATACCAGCAATGTAAAAGGCATGCTGGCTGTAGTATTCGGAATTGCAGTACTTCGGAATCATGCTAATGCACCGATCGATATGGCGATCCTGAGATAAATGGGGGTGCCAGATGGAATTCCTCGCGAGGGCAAATATTATTTCCAGATAGCACAAGTCGCGGTGATAATCGAAAAAGCGGTCAGAACCATCATTGGCGGGCATTGGACTTGGGTGCAGACAAACCACGGACATGATAGCGGGGGAGAGATTGGTTAAAACCATCTCTCGTAGCCTCGCATCATCAATGGTATCGATCGAGGCGATTTCTTCCCGGGCACTGTGAGCAGCGCGAAGAGCGGCATGGCGTAAATGGAAAGGTATGTTACTGTCCATGCAGGCGATAAGTCTCTCAATAAACAGATGTTGTTTAGCAGGGCTGCAGCTCCCTTTTATGGTACCTAGTAGCAAAAGGATGTCGTATGCCGCTTCGTGGTCGTCGGAATAAATGTCATTGAGGTAGTCCACCATCCAGTCGAAGTCTTCTGGTGAGTGGGAATTGCCTGGCCAAACCGGGCTGGCATACCACAACTCAGCAGAATCACGAGATACGTTAGCAGCAGCGAACGTGAAGTGCAATACGTTTCGCAGAGCTACCAAAGAAACCGAGGCATCGTTTTGTTCGGATGACCTTATTCGTGAATAAATCCTCCTGCACGCTTCCAGGTTCCGCATGGTGTGATATGAAGGATCGTGATATCCTGCAAGCTCGAGGATGCGACAGATAACATCGAGGAGGTTCCATGCCCGACGCACGACTCCTGCGCTATCTTCGTTGAGTTCGCCTCCATCCCATGCCCAGAGAGCCTTTTGGAACTGCGCCAGAAGGAAGTCACTGAGTTGAGGCAAAACAGAACTAAACAATCACTTTGTTAATCATGGCATAAAAACTATCAAATGAGTCGATGGTACCTTTTATCAATCCGAACGATGTCATTCTTATCAATCTGAGTCCCGACCATGACGCAAGCAAGAAGTGTGCAATTGGCTATGATTTGAGTCGACGGAGGGGATGGAGAGGATAGCAATTTTGATATCACCGTTATCGCGAGCTCTTCTATGTCTGTATTCGCTCGTCCAGTAACAAAGTGATAAGGTAGAAGATGCGACAGCCGCTCAAGGACGGAGTCAGGGCAATCCTCTGACAAAAAAGGAGCCCACGGAACATTTTCTGGACGACAAAGATTTATAGTCGTGTGAAGAACCGTGCGGTCTGTTGTACAGATGCCTCCACGGAAGATCTCCCAAAACACGTCAACGTCTCCTCTCTCGCGAGCAATAAAATCGCCACAGTCAGGATGTGCCTGAAGAACACGTCCATAGTATAGATGTGTCAGAGCCGTTGTACATGCCGAGGCCTTCTCCTCCAACGATGGTACGATGTTCCCCTGAACATCGACGCAACTCGTAAAAATATCAGACAGCTGATGCAGCATGTCTGAAATGTCAAGATCCAAGGGCCATTCGACCTGCGGAACAAGTTTGGCAGTAGCGAGAACTACTTCAAGATCCGTGGATGTCTCAAGCAGCCACTTGATACTAGGTGCTTCGAGATCGCTGGTGGGTATGTCTCGGAGGTCGAGGATAAGGATGGATTTCTCCTCCACCGAAACGTCTAAATCCTGGTCTAGCTGTTGTGCCTCTGAGTCTCTAACCTTTGTCGAAGAACACGGAGCCAAAGAACGCAGCATTCTGCGAAGCACGGCGAATAATAGCCGAAGAGGTCGTCGTACGAATGCACAAGTAGCACACACAGTGCCTGGGGAGTGAAATGAGCACTAAATGTCTTGTGTAAGAGTAGAGAAGAACTTCACCTGCCAGTGCTTCGGAAAATCGAGCCCAACTTGGTCCGAGGGTACCAAGCATTCCTAGCAACATGCCTGTTAAGAAACGGTCAAAATATGAGAATACGTAATAAATATGGCTCACCATGCGCTGACGTTTTCAGCTGCCGGAAACACCTGAAGACTCGTTTGAACGCTGGGCGTAGAACCCCTGCAATGTTGATTCAGACAGAGAACGACCACGAGAATTTACGAAATGATCTTACTATCGATGTGCAACATGCGTAAGATTGTCGACATCGGCGTTTGAAATGGACAAGAAGGAGATATTAAACATGCCATCACTGTTAGCAAATAGAACAAAAATCCAGAGACCGTGGTGGCAATAATCACCCAAGCGATGCTGGGCTGTTCGTACCATATACGAGCGCCGAGGGCAATCTCAAAGAGAAGAACGGAGATCTGAAGCAAGACGGGAAAGGACTGTACAACAGCATCGAAATACCATGTGGCCAGGCTGTCAAACATCTCTTGTCTGCGCTTTCCTCGGTTCTCCAGCGAGCCGCGACCATATCTGTAGAACTTGTAATACCCGAGCCATTGCCTGCCTAGGACGGCCCCGAACGCTGCCAACAAGCTCATGGACAAGCTTGCGTATGCGATCATTTGGATCCTCACAACCGACGGAGACGGCGACCACGTGGATGCTGGGTCTACAGGCGTGGAGCCCGCTGCAGCGAGGTTGCCGAGTCCGATCTGCACGAGTTGCGTGAGAAGGGCATTCGTGGTGTCGCTGGGGTCAGGACTGAGATCGGACTCCATGGCGACAATGAAAGACGAGCTGACAGTGGAGAAAAGACCAGACTGATCAAACATTAGTCTCAAAACGGATCAAAGATAGACATGCGAAACCTACGAAGAGCAGGATACTCTCCATGTCGTTGGTGTATCGGTCGAGAAACTTCTGGTCGTGTTCCCCTGCGACTTGTCCGTACAGCCCCCAGAAACGATACCGATTGTCCTGGCCACTTATCGACGCAATCGTCGAGTTCTGGAGAACATCCAGCACTTTCTCCATGACATGTGCTCTGCACGTAGAATCTCGTCAGCTGTGATTGCTTGCCTAATTTGTCGCTCACAATTCGCTTAGAGTCGGCTGCTCCTTCTCCGCCACGACCTTTTCCACCTGACTGAGATAATTTATGAGTTTTATTTAAAATTGCTATTGGTGAACTCACGAAGCTAAATCACCGTCCTGTGCGACTCTGGAAGCACTTTCCTGTTCGTGACGTTCTGATGACTGGGAACGCCCAGTTTTCGAGCTACAGTTCTCGTGAGGAAATATACAGAAGTATCAGAACAAAACTAATTACCTCCCTGATGATGGCTTCACCACTGAAGGTCCATCATTTTCCTTCTCCCTATCTTCCTGTTATACGGGTGACAGATCTCAGGAATCGGTTACTTACTCTGAATCCTCCGGGGGTCCTAGTGTCTGTTCTGGAACAGGCTGCTTGTCGGCATGGACGCGCTGGTCCTCAGCGCCGTCAGTGCTAGATGCTAAATTTGACATGAGCAAGTGAGAGCTATAGATATTTGGATCCAAAATACAAGGCAGTGGAATTGCGAAGAGTCTGAGCGCACAAATATAAGCAGTGGTGGTACACAGCAAGTTGGTTGAGCGCATGCAACCATCACGAACACGTCTTTCTTGACGCCGAGGGTGTTCGCGAACGTTGCCATCTTGGTGTAAATTCGTAAGTCGTGGATATAAGCCAAGCGGCTGCCAAGCCAAGCGACCTATCCTTTTGCCTAGATTTGAAATTCGACACGTTCTGGATTTGTGGTCGAGTAGGTACCGGTGTCGCAGTATAAGCCGTAGGGCCAGCTATGTCAAGTGGCAAAGCCCGCTAGTACCTGCTGCGGCCATCGGCATGCGAAAGCGGAATGCCGAACGTCGAAAAGCCTTCCTATTATTATTCGTTGCTTATCACCCTAGGACGCCTAATAATCTCCATTAAGGACTGCCCTAGGTTAGAAGTAGACATAGGGCGCCCCGTTTTGTAGCAGGCTGCTCGTTGGTACGGACGTACTGCTCCTCGGTGCCGTCAGTATTCGATGCTTTTGACATGAATACTAAGTGAGAGCTATAGGTATTCGGATCCAAAACAAAAGCCAGTGATGAAGAGTCTGAGCGCAAAGAGATAGGCACGGGCGGCTTGAGCGCCTGCAACGGCATCACATGTCTTTGTTGACGCTGGGGGTGATCCCGATGATCTAAGTAGGCTAGGTGATGTATTATAGCTCAGCGCTCCGTGCTTGTAACGGAATCAGAAAAGACGGCGTTACGAAATATTATAACTGGTATAACAGATCGTACAACTCCAATACGTGGGCTGAGCGCTGAATGAGGGAGAAGGATTTAACAAGACTGTAGCGCCGCCTCGTTAATCATTGGGAATCACAGGAGCTTGCCGATGGGGGTAAGGCCATCAAAGCCAGTTCTGCGCCCTATCGTAGGCCACGGGTGACACGCCTCGAGACGCATTGCAATCTTTCTCGTGCGCATCTCATCCCGGGAAGAATGTCGACGAGAGCCCGCATCTATACCTGTTGTACCTTGCAATTCCTGCATGATCTGGGGAGACTCTTCGTGGTTTGGAGAATGGTCATCCAGATGTAAGGTCCAATCATTCTGGTAGAAGAGAACGACCTTGGGAGCCAGAAATTTGGGAATAGTCCATCCGAGCGTGTTCCAAGTGCTTTTTGCCAGCGCGCCAGATTTCGATGAAGGCGCTCTCCGACCTCGCTTACTGCGATTGGCAAAGACGGCATAGGTTGCAAAATCCATGTCGATCGCGGCCGAGTAAATCCCGATAGCCCTGTCGTACTCGCCCGCAGTAACGGCAGCGTCTCCGCTCACAGCGAGGTCTGCAACTCCGTTAGCAGTATAGAGCACGCTGCATTCTTGCTTGAAAGCTGCGTCACGGCGTGAAACGCAAGTGAGTATTGTAGCCTGTAGACGTTCCGGAAGACTTACCAGTACACCCAACCAAGGCAGCTGGCCTTCGTAGCGTCATCGCTCATATCCATCATACATCGGTATGATTTGAGGGGATCTCCAGGTCTACCCGCATGGAGGAGTGCATGACACCGTTTCTTGTTTGCAATTTGCCGCAAGGAGCCGAAGTCCCACCCGAACAGCTGGGCTTTGGGCATGAGAAGCACGTTTGGTTATCAACGTACCATGGCAAAGTCTCCGTATCTGGAATGAATGGCCGATTCAGGTAAGAACGTGCTGATATTGATAGCGGTAGTGAAGTGGTCAGCAGTTTCATCGTAACGCGCGCTATCCAAGACGTCGATTCCAATTTGAACATGCAGATATGCCTGATGTGTGAAATTTATAAATATCCGTCAAACGATATATATGGACTGGATATATTGTTTGAAAATGAGGACGCGAGGTCGAATGCTTTCATCGCATCTTGAGGTTCATTGTTCCACAGAGAGCAATGCCTTTGGAGATGCAACCTGTCGAGGAGGACTGAATGCTGATAGGCTATTAGTCAATATGGAAGCAAACGAAGTGGCGCGAGATGCAACGTCAACTTACGTTGTTACTGTTCGCTTGAAGACTTCAACAACAACACGTCCTTGGAACGAGATTGAGATAACGGAGGTAGTGACTCCACAGTAGATGAATAGGA